AGCTTGGAGATGAGGGAGAACAAATTGAAAAAAGAGTCTGGGGCTAGTGTAGGTGGATGGACATCAAGAGATAACCTCTTTATAATAATGACAAGGAGGCTTCCATTAATCAGATACTCCATAGGTCCTAAATACTGTGCTAACTGCTTCCCAGACATGAATCTTAATCCCCACAACAACCAACTCCTCCAGGTAGAGTATGATTAGCCCCACTTTACAGTCTCGGTGAGTGAAGTGACTAGCACAGCCAATGAGTGGTAGAACTGGAATTCAACCCCAAGCTCATCCTGTTAACTACTAAGCCAAACTACCTCCCTTTCAGTTTTCTTTAAGCACACTCAGAGGAGTCACACACATCTCTGGTGTGACACTCCAGAGATTCAAGCTTCTTAGTTTGCCAGGCTCATTAGAGGGATCAGGGCATGACTAGGATAAGAGGTTATTGCACGGCAACCCCACCTACCAAGCCCTGAATACTCATTTCCTGTGTCCTGGACCACACATCAGAGCACTGTGCTCCCTACTGTCAGTCACATGTGTAGTTCCATGTCAACTCATGTATGTAGCTGTGCTGACATACACACTTGGAAGTCAGAAGAACCATGCATTGCCCTCCTTGTTAGCACCCAGGTCTTCATGTTAGGGCCACACCAACTACCTGCCTGTACAGGAGCACACACATGGGCCCTGTGCTAGGTGCAGAACCTGTGAATATTTTATGTCTGGGGCTGGTAGCTGTTTCTCTCACTCACACACATGTCTGATCCTCCCTCTCACAATCTCCTTGCTATTTTTTAAATGAATTATTTATTCATGGCCCCCTTTCTCTCTTAGTATCCCCCTCCCCCAAGACCTTGCCTCCATGATTTATTGAACATAGCTCCGCTCTCTGATTGCCACCCTATGTCCTGGGAGCTGCTTTGGGCCACAAAGCCTGAGTACTCCCTCTGCCCCAGACCTGTTTAGCTCCCTGCTTCCTTGGCCCCAGGGATAGAGGGGTGAGACACCATGCTCAGAGAGCTCCCAGAAGCCTGAGCTCACTACCTCCTAGAGAGAACATGGCAGCCAGCAGTGTACTGGAAAGCCTGAAGGTCAAAGGGAAATGAAGGCAAAGCCTACAGGAGAGGAAAAAGAGGCCTGAGACTCTAGAGAGAGAGGACCAGCCCATGGAGAGAACACCAGGCTCAAGAGAGGCCATCAATCTACAGAGAGGTATTGATCAGGGCCCAGGCCTTAGACACCAGTGTTTCAAACTATAGCTTGTGACGCGTTAGGGGTAGTGAAATCAAGAAATAAATTTTATGGATCTCAACCAGTCTTTTATTTTATTTTTAAAAATTTTAGTTTTTATTATTTATTTTAGAGAGAGAGGAAGGAGAGAGAGAGAAACATCAAAAACAGCCTTTTATTGAAAAATTTGATTTAATGTTGTGCTTTTATTATTGATTTTAGAGAGAGAAAAACATCAGTAGGCTGCCTCCTGCACACCCCATACTGGGAATCAAGCCTACAAAAGACATGTGCCCTGACCAGGAATGGAATGAGTGCATGGGATGATACTCAACCAACTGAGCCATACCAGCCAGGGAGATATATATATATATATATATATATATATATATACACACACACACACACACACACACACACACACACATATATATATATACACACACATATATATATAAATTTTTTTTCCACTTAAAGAATAGAACAGGCCTGGCCAGTGTGGCTCAGTGGATTGAGCGTCCTCCCATGGACTGAGAGGTCCTGGTTCCATTCCTGGTCAGGGCACATGCCCAGGTTGCAGCTCGATCCCCAATAGAGGGTGTGCAGGAAGCAGCCGCTTGAGTTTTTCTCTCACATCGATATTTCTATCTCTCTCTCCCTTCCTCTCTCTAAAAAATCAATAAAAAATAAAACAGAAGAAAATTATCAGAGTGTATCCTCTGTAGTAAAGGTAAATATTGTTTTATAAAAATTATTGTTTCAGCCCTGACCGGTTTGGCTCAGCGGTTGGAGTGTCGGCCTGCGGTCCGGAGAGACCCGGGTTCGGTTCCCGCTAAGGGCACGTACTTCGGTTGCAGTTTGTCCCCGGCCCTGGTTGGTCGTGCGGGTGGCAGCCACTCGATGTGTCCCTTCACATCGATGTTTCTCTCTCTCTCTCTTCCTCTCTCTCCCTCCCACTCTATCTGAACAAAAAATGGGAAAATGTCCTCGGGTGAGGATAAAAAAAAAAATTTTTGTTTCAGGCCCGGCTGGTGTGACTCAGTGGTTGAGCATCGACCCATGCACCAATAGGTAGCTGGTTCGATTCCCAGTCAGGGCACATGCCCAGGTTGTGGGCCCAATTCCCAGTGGGGGGCATGCAGGAGGCGGCCAATGTTCTTTCTCATCGATGTTTCTCTTTCTCTCCCTCTCCCTTCCTCTCTCTCTGAAATAAATAAAGAAAATAATTTTTTAAATTATTGTTTCAGTTATATGTGAATGTGTGTTTGTGTGTGTATTTATTGTATTGCAAATACAAAATACACATTTCACTGTGATGGGTCACAATCAGGAAAAAAGATCCCATTGATTGATGGAAGCCCAGATGCCACAGAAAGAGGTCTACATCAGGTTAGGTCCCAGGCATGTAGACAGTGGCCAGATCTTATACACAGAGAACCAATCCTTAGAGAAGCTCAGACCCAATGAGTAGAGGCCTATAGACAGGCCTAGGCATTACAGTCGGAAGTACAAGCCCTACAGTCACATAGAGTTGTGCAGTTTGTATATGGCACAGAAAAGCAACCTCCGGGGTGAGTCGAGGTTGACATTAGCCCAAGATCACTCACTAAGATGGGGAGACACATAGGGCCACCTTCTTCTGAAGGAAGTGGCACCTTTGTTTTTGCACACGGGTACCATTTGCCAAGAGATGCACCTTAAGGACTGGATCTGCATAGAGGGGTGCTTTTCCTAATCACACAAAAGGCCAAATCTGCCAGTAGCTAATTTGGATAGAGGCCCAAATAGGCAAAGCACCAGATCCTATAGACACAGGCCTCGAGCTACAGAGAGTATCCAAACCCAGAGACTTAGACTCCACAGAAAGGGCTGCTTAAATCCTATTAAGAGGGTTCCAGATTCTAGAGAAAAGGGCTCAGTTATTATTGAAGGGTGGTGTGGGAGTGCTAGTTTCTAAAGAGGAGGATCTGGGCCCTATAGAAAGGGCCCACATCCATAAGTGGGATCCAGACTCTACAAACAGGGATTTAAAGCTTCTAAAATCAAATCTAAAATCCTGAACCAGCAAGCTCCCACTCCCTGTGAATATGGGCAGCCTCTCTGCCAACCATGAGCCCCTGAGAAGCCTCCTTTTGCAGGCAGTGAGGGTGACAGGGAAGGGGTGGGGATCTGTAGCAACTGGAGTAGGCAGGTTATCATCATTTGGGTGAAACAAATCTCCCCAGGGATGAGGAAGGAGTTTTGGGGGAGGGAGAGCTGTTTGCAAAGTCCTCCTTCCCACCCCAAGGGGCCTAATTTATTTTCTGGCTCCTGAGAAGGGAAAGGAGATCTCCTGGGGTGGAGAGGAGCCGAGGGAGGACAGAGCCTGCTCTTGCCTGGCAGTAGCTAGACACAGGGTCTGTTCTGGATGACACTGCCCTTCCTCCAAACCCAGCACCAGAGGTGGACTTGTGATCAGGACTTCTGTCCTGCCAAGGATAAGTAGATGAAGGGTGCCTGTATGTTCTCTCTCCTGTGGTAAAAAAGAAAAGAACATTATGCCTGTTACCCTGGGCACAAGTGGTTGGCTTGAGTTCTGAGAACCTGGTCTGAGATCTGTTTCTCCTGGTCACTCAGTCTGAGCCTCTCCAAAAGAGAAAAGATGAGAGGTGAACACCCGCTAAGTCTGGATTCTAGATCCTTTCACTCAACTTCTACTTCCTAGGAAAAGAAAAGAGAGGCGAGCACAGAGCCATGTGTGTGTCAGCGGATGCATGTGGGTCTGTGTATGAGTCATGTGTATGCATGTGTCTGGGTGCTCCTCTGTCTCTGTGTATCTTAAGTGCCTGTGTTTCTACAGATCTCTAGTTGTCCACTAGTACCTTTACGTGTGTGCGCGCGCCCACAAGGGGTATCTGTGTGTCTATAGGTTGGTGTCAGCCTCTAGGTGACTGCTTTTTCTCCTAAATGTGTGTGTGTAATGTTTATGCTTGGGTATCATTGTAGGACAATGACTATGATAAGAGCTGGAACACAGGGTGCTTTGCCCTCTGCCCTCATGTCAGTGTTGATGAGAGTAGAAGTGAGAATGCCTGAGGACACCACTGGCCAACTGGGAGGGAGCCCGGCTAGTGTGTGTGAGGAGTCTCTAGCATGTGTCCCAGAAAAGCTGACTCTCTCCTCAGTCCCTCCTCCACAGTGGGCCCTGTACTACCAAAGGCCCTAACAACACCCAGTATTGACATTCTTGGGGGCTAAGCTCTTCTACCCCGCCTCCAAGAAAAATAAGCCGCATTATCAGGTCCGGGCTTCAGGTCAACAGTCAGGTAGGTCTTGGTGCATCTAAGTGCCTCACCCTCTAGAATCCCCCTGACTCTTCATTCACATTGGAGGAGGGGCATGGAGGAAGCAGAGGGCCAGACCGTTCAAAAAAGAAGGGGGTCTAATCTACTGATTAAGAGGTCCTGGACCCCCAGCTTCTTTTCAAGTCTCCACCTCATCCCAGAAATAAATGTGCTCACTCGAAATTGAGATCCCTGTCTTGGCCTTCCTAATCCTCCTGGGAATTCCAGATTAGGGAACAGAAAGCCTAGAACCCGCCATAGCTAATTAAACCTAGGAGGGAGAGGCGAGGAGCGCGCTGGTTGCTACCGAGAGGGTAGCACTGTTCCAACCTCCCACGCGCCGCGCGCTCCAGGCCCAAGCGGGGCGGGGCCTATCGGGAGCGCGCCAAGGGCGGGGCTTTGGGAACGCGCCCGGAGGGCGGAGGAAAGGGTTGGGGGCGTGGCCTAAGGCTCCAGGGCTGTTGGCCGCGGCAGCAGGGAGCTGGGAAGCGAGAAGCCGGGAGCGCGGGGCTCAGTTCGGGGGCGGCGGCGGCGGCTCGGGGGATGGCGGCGGCTCCGCTGCTGCTGCTGCTGCTGCTTCTCGTGCCGGTGCCGCTGCTGCCGCTGCTGGCCCAGGGTCCCGGGGGGGCGCTGGGAAACCGGCATACGGTGTACTGGAACAGCTCCAACCAGCAGTGAGTCGGGGGGCGCAGGGAGCTCGTGCGTCCCGCGTCAGTGAAGGGGAAGGTGGTGGGCCCAGGAAGTCCTGGGGAAACCTGAGGTGGGAGAGCACAGCTGGGTGCTGGGAGGCGAGGGAGAGGGGGACACTCTGTGGGCGTCTGTGAAACTCGGGGTGGGGGTATGAAAGAGGCTGTTGAGGTATATAGTAAGGAGGGCTTGGGCCGTTCAGAGGAGGGTGCTCAGCAGTCCCCCACCCCACCTTGGCTTTTCTCCACACCCGCCGCTGGAATAGCGTACCCACATCCCATAGTGCCCCCATCTTTACTCCCTTAGGCCAGGCTGGGGTTTGGGAGTACCAGTGTGCTGGGGGTAGGCCGCCCGTTCTTGGTGGGGGGCAGGGATGACCTGTTTTCAGTATTGAGGGTTTCAAGGGGTTCTGTCTCAGACTCCTGCTTTTAAAAGTGGGGTCTAGAGCTGAGGCAGGGAGTCCTATTGAGTACCTCCTCAGAGCGAAGGTGAAGGGGTGCCCTGGTTGTATGGATAAGCCTGGCTGGGGTGAGCTGGGGCTGGGTAGCCAAGTCAGGGGGGTACAGAGTGCTGCTTGGTGAGGATAGGGACGTGGGGGTAGTGGTGAAAGGGAAGGAAACGGAGATGTCGGCTTGTCACACACGCGCGCGTGCACACACACCCGGGCTGGGGACGGTGTGTGGCTCTAAGTGTGAGCGGGCGTGTGCGGCTGTCAGTGTGCGTGTTTGTCTGAGTGTGTGATTTGTGTGTCTGCGTCGGCGATCGTCTAAGGGTGGGAGCAGGCGACAGGTCGGAGAGGGGGCTGCGGTCGCTGTCCGCGTGGCCGGCCACGTCTGGGCTCGGGTGACTGTCGGCGCCGCCGCTGTCTGGGCGGGTGTCAGGGCGGCCCTGTGGTTTCCCGGGCGTGTGGCGCTGCGGCTGGGTGCCCGCTGCGGGACCAGGTTCTCATTCTGCTCAGTCCTTGCTGCCCTTGTCTTCTCCTCCCTGCCGAGCCACTGTGTGGATCACCCCGGCCGCCTCCGTGTGTGTCTGTGTGTTGGGGGAGATCCCCTGGGGACGCGGGGGTCACTGTCACACCTGCCCAGGCGACGGCACTGCCTCTGGCTCCCCACCCCGGGAGGCGATTCGGGAGCAATGGTGAGGCCCCAGGGGAGGGAACCGGGAGCGCCCAGCGGCTGCGACCCCCAACGTCCCGGGGGAGGGGCTGCCGCTCGCCGCTCCTCTCTTTGTTGTTTGGGGCTCTGCGCCTCCCCCTCTCTCCTTACTCGCGCCCAGAGTGTCAGACTGGGGGTGGGGATGAGCCAACGACGCCCCCCTCTCGCTTCCCATGGAAACCTCTGGGTGGAGATGCGCACTACCCTCCCCCCAGTGGAACTCAGAGAACTCTGGGGGTGCTAAGGGCAGACTCCCCTGCTGTATCTAGCTTGTCCCCTTCCCCCAGACTCACACATCCTCTCTCTGCCCCACTGTAGTCTGGCGGGGAGTGAAGAGCATTCAGGTGAGAAGCCCGTGTTCCCCATCACCCTCGGGCATCCCCGGGTTCTTAGCAGAAGCCGGAGCCTGAGGGATGCGGGAATGGCGGGAGGATTGGGGGGGGGGGATGTTGTTGATCAGGTCCCCCTCCCCCGCATACACCTGGGCGCAGGTGAAAGCCCTGAGAGGGAATGGGGGAGCCCGGGTTTCGGTAGCCTCCTTTCTGTCTTTCTCGCTCCCCACAGGTCTGGACCGGCAGATGTGGGAGGGGGTGCGCACCCGGCCGGTAGGACGCCGCCGCCCCCGCCTCGCATCCTCGGCCTTTGTTGCCGCTGCGCCCGGGCTCCCCGGCTCCCTCACTGCGGCAGCCGCGGCCCCATAAATCGTGAGAGCGACGTGCTCCGTAGTCGGGAGTGGAGAGGGCCAGGGAGCTGGGGGCGGGGCCGGGCCGAGCCACAGGCTCCCGCGCCCCTTCCCCCAGTCACGTGAGCTGGGCTTCTGGCTCCCACCCCCAGTCACGTGCAGAGGGTCTCAGCCCCTTGGGGTCACGTGGAAAAGGTCTTGCGACCCCTCCTCCTGGGGGTCACGTGGGAGGGTGCTGGTGGGACACGTGCCGTGGCCTTTTTTGACAGACCTGGGGGCCGTACCCTCCACGAGGTCGAGATCTCGCCCCCTGCCCCCTACGAGGTCGCGATTTCGCCCCCTGCCCCCACTCAGCCCCTCCGTTTGGTCCTACTGAATAGGCAAGACCTGTTCCCAGTCTAACCCAGAAACTAGGGCTGGGAGGACTATACTGGAGAAAAGCATGAGAGTGTGAGGTCGAGGGGTCCCCTGAGCCTGGAATTGAATTGGGGGGGGCGGCAAATATATGCGCCCTGGCCTGTGCTTCGTTTCTTTACACTACTAGGCAGGTGTGTTGGTATCCACTCCTACTCAAGAAGCCTCAGGAACATCTTTCTCTAGCTGTCTCCCTACCTGTCTCTATCTCTGAAATGTTTCGGTTCTGATCTTTAATTCATACATTCATTAACAAATATTTATTGAGGCGCTACTACATCCACGTTGGTCACTCTGTTTTCTCCCTGTCACCGAGTGTGCCTTGTACTCCTTCCTTGCCTCTGGTAACCTCTTTTGCGTCTCGCTGTCTCCGTCTCTGCTGTGTGTGGGCCTCTCTGGACCAGCCTCTGTGTCTCTTCCTTCCATCAAGTCGCTCGGTTTTCACTCTCTTCCTCTCTCTCTCTCTCTCTCTCTCTCTCTCTCTCTCTCTCTCTCTCTCGGTTTCTGGATCCCTCTCTCTCTCTGCCTCACTCCCTTTTCCGGATTTCTCAGTGGATCCGGTTGGTCTCTGTTCATCTCCCTTCTTGGTGTGCATCTCGCTCCCGGTTTCTGTGTGTCTCGCTTTCGGCGGGGCTCTCCTGCTTCGCCGCCGCTGCAGATCAATAAACCTTCGCCGCCACAGCCGCTGTCGCAGGGAGGAGGGGTGGGGATGTGGGGCTCCAGAATTCTCTCCCACCCGTCGCCGGCCAGTGAAGCTCAGGGCTGACCCCGCAGGGCTGAGTGCGGAGGCCCATTGAGCCCAAGGGGTGCGGGGGTGTCTGTGTGCACCCGGCGCCCCGCAAGCGTTCCCGCCACCCACCCACCCCCAGCCTGGCGCGCGGACCCCACGCTACGCACACGTGGTCGGGCCTCGCCTGCAGGAGCGAGCGGCGGACGGCCTCGGGAGCGCGCGCTAGAGGGGAGGAGAATGGGGTCCGGTGTCTTCACATCCCTCCTCCACTTCTTTAGCTCTGCATTACTCTGTCTACGGGTGGGGACAGGAATTTAACAAGATCAGAGCCCCTTAGGATCTTTTCCCTACTGCCTGATCGTTTAGATACCCTGTTTAACTGCTCTTAATTGCCCAGGGCGGGCAGAGGTTTGCTCCTTACAGCTCTCCCGCCGCCCACCCACCAGGCTCCAGCAGACAGAGCGCTGAGAGTGGAAGGAAGGGGTCGTAATGTGCACCGGAGGCGGTGAGAGCCAGTAGAACTGAAATAACGGGGTGAGGGGCTACCCCCTCCAGGTGGGGTGAGTCAGACATTCGCCTTTCTTTGAGAGAGGTGGGAGGTTAGTGGGAGATGATGTGAGGAGGAATAGACAAGTCCCCAGATCCCAGCTCGCCCCACCCCCTGCCGAGAGTGGGGCTCTAAGCTAGGGAGGTACAGCCCTGGAGGAGGGGTTAGCCTCGAGCTTCGCCATGCCTAGCGTCACCTCCTTCTTCACTGTCAAGAATGACAGATTTAAAGAAAGCACCCAAGCCAAGCAGACACCTCAGATCTTCTAGCAGTGTGGCTGGGGATTCCTGCCCTTCTGCCCCCAGTCCGACAGATTCCAGCTGGGCACACCCATTCCACAAGCAGGGTTTTTCCCCCTACGTGCCCAGCTTTGTGGGTATTCCAGGGCCTGTTCCTACCACCCAACTCCGGGATAGGTAAGAAATGGCTTCTCTTCATTTGTGGCCACCCAGCAACCTTTCTGTAAGGCTAGTTCCCATCCCATTGGGAAAACTGAGGTGCCTGTAAGAATAGATCTGGCTTTGGCTTACTCCTGCTGGTATGAGATGTGCTGTATGGGGAATGGGGCAGTGCCCCCAGGGAGGGACCATTTCAGAGCAGGGCTGGGAACCTGGGTGAGGCTCAAGTACAGAGACCCCAGTGTGGCTATGCAGCCGTTCCAGACCTGACCCCCTACCACTGGTGGGCTCCTCCTCAAAACCTGTGAGTGAGGAACAGTAAACTTTGGGGTTGCAGATAGAGAGGCAAACCTGGGGTGGCAGCTGGGAGCGAGGCCTGGTCTAACCCGTTTTCCTGCTCCCAGTGCCTGAGGCCAGTACTCCTGCCCACCTGAGTGCCAGGGCCAGGGAGTGGCCTGAGTGACCCATCACTCCCGTGGGAACCGAGTGGGGCTAGTAGCATTCCTGATGACTCAAGAAAGCTGTGCCCATTCTTACTGGGGTGCCCAAGCACCAGTGCTCACCTATCTGCTTTACTGCTAGGATTAGAAGGGGATATTTGGGGAAAGGGTGGCACAGGCAAGGCCAAGGAAGTAGGGTAAGATGAGGAAGGACCCTCAAGGTCCTTCCCCATGCAGAGGCCTGCAAACTCCTTTTCCTAATAGATCTAATTACTGTTTGTAGAGCTGGGAGGTGCCTGGCGACATGGGGAGCCAGTCCCTCCCCTCAGGGAGTTCTCAGGGACTCCAGTGGTTTGACATTTTGCCAAGTATCCCATGTCTTCTTGTGTCCACCACTCTCTCTCACTGCCAAGACATGTGCATTCCTACCCTAAGGAAATGAGGAGAAACCCCTGCCTAGTTTTCTGAGTTTTTTCTCCATTCAGATGTTTCAGCCATGCCCACATCATTCAGTAGTACCATTGACAGTATTGACAGTGCTTTGATGATGACTAATAAGGCAGGTGGGGATTACAAGGGACCCAGCATCTGCTTCTCTGTCCCATAGAAGGCTCAGGGAAGTAAGAGGAATAGCCATCTTGTCTGGGCATTATGCCCACTGCTCTGCCTAGCATCTTTAAGGGGCAGTGGTGCCCAGATTGAAGAGGGAGATGTATAGATACAGAAGTTTTGGCTAGTTGGCATGATACCACGTGGAGCCTTGATATTGAGTTCCCTGATATGTTGTTTCACATTGGGGACCTTATTGCCCATGGCCTCAGAGACTCAAGGTACAGAGATCAGTGATACTGTAGAGAAAGCATATGCCAGTGTGTGTGTGTGTGTGTGTGTGTGTGTGTGTGTTTGTGTGTGAAAACTGGGAGAGAGCTTGAGATTGCAGAGATCAACCAATACTGGCATGCAAGTCCAGAACACATACAACCAAGCATTTTTATGTGTCTACTGCCTATGAGTGGGGGGTGGACATATTTGTGTGTGTGCCCTAGAACTATGCACGTATATGCATGAACCCTCCATACATGCTTGTGTGAGGACAGGTCCTATCGGACTGGCCTTGGCGTTGGACTGACAGCCGCAGGAAAGCATGTAGGGAGAGGCGATGGAGAATGCTTATCCCACTTTCACTCCTCCCTTCCCTGCCCCTATCCCCCCGCCCCACTTGTGAATTATGGGGGATGGACGGAGGAAATCCGGACCTGGGTCTGGGAGTCGCAGGGGCCTGCGCCGTTTCTGTGGTAACCAAAGCCGGCGTTCCCTGCTTCCCTCCACCTTTCTCCGCCTCTTTTCCTTGGAGGCCCGCTGGGCTTCCCTGCGCCTTTGCTGCCCTCTGGTGGCCACTAGTAGGACAGAACAAGGAACGGCCCGGAAGTCTAGTGCGGATGCTGGCTCTACTAGGGTCCCGGGGAGAGATAGAGACTAAGAAGAGGGGATGCTCAGAAGAGCCAGGAAGCTCGAGGACCGTGGGGAAGGTGTGCAGAGCAGTGAGGTGGAGAGCGGGTTGGCATGGGAGCTTCTTCCCTCTGACCCGCTGCCGGTCCCCCGCAGCCTGCGGCGAGAGGGCTACACGGTGCAAGTGAACGTGAACGACTACCTGGATATCTACTGCCCGCACTACAACAGCTCAGGGCCGGGCGGCGGGGCGGAGCAGTACGTGCTGTACATGGTGAGCCACGCCGGCTACCGCACCTGCAACGCCAGCCAGGGCTTCAAGCGCTGGGAGTGCAACCGGCCGCACGCATCCCACAGCCCCATCAAGTTCTCGGAAAAGTTCCAGCGCTACAGCGCCTTCTCGCTGGGCTACGAGTTTCACGCAGGCCACGAGTACTACTACATTTGTGAGTGACAGCCAGGGGTGGGGTCCCCAGGGGCCGGGCCGACGCGCTGTCACCAGGTCTCTGGCTAGGAGTGACATCCCAGATATGGGGCGTGGAGACTGGGGGGACATTGGGATTTCAGTTCAGACAGGGTCGTAAAGCTGAGAGAGATGTTTGGTGATAGTCCTAAGTTTGGGTCCTGGTCACTTTCTGTGACGAACATTCGGAGGCGGGATCTCAGGTGTCAGGGCTTCTTGAGGTCTGGGACTCAAGGGGCTTCTGGGGCTGACGGCGGAGGCCCCTAACCAGTGTCCAAAGGGTCCGGGAGCTACTGAAGACTACCCGGGAGGGACAGTCGGTAGGGGTGAGAAGTAGAGCTTCTGAGCGAGGGCAGGGGGTGCAAACCTGGAGAAAGCCACTCAGGCCCCCTCTCCTCCCCAGCCACGCCCACCCACAACCTGCACTGGAAGTGTCTGAGGATGAAGGTGTTTGTCTGCTGCGCCTCCAGTGAGTATAACCGGCTCCCAGCCGCGACCCCATCCTCGGCTCCCCTGCTTTGGGGCTCCCCTGGCTTCCTGGGGGTGAGGGCAGAGGGCACAGGAGAGGGGGACTCGCTCCCCAGCTGTAGTAGGGGGAGGGGATCCTGGCCCTGACTCTCCCCCTCCTCTCTCCCCACCCGCACCCTACCCCGCAGCATCGCATTCCGGGGAGAAGCCGGTCCCCACTCTCCCCCAGTTCACCATGGGCCCCAATGTGAAGATCAACGTGCTGGGTGAGTGCGCAGCGCCCTCTGGTGGCCACTGCTGAAACCGCAGTCCCCTTCCCGGTGCCTGCTCACCTCGCATGACTTCCCCTGGGGACATCGATCCCTCCCACCACCGTGGGTGGTCAAGTCCCCGGGTCCCCTGCTGCTGCTGCTGCTGCCGCTGCCGCGTGCCCCCGCCCAGGCGCGCAGCCCAGTCCTCATCAGTCTGTCTCTTCATCTATCCACAGAAGACTTTGAGGGAGAGAACCCCCAGGTGCCCAAGCTTGAGAAGAGCATCAGCGGGACCAGCCCCAAGAGGGAACACCTGCCCCTGGCAGTGGGCATCGCCTTCTTCCTTATGACACTCTTGGCCTCTTAGCTCTGCTCCCTCCCTTGATGGAGGAGACATGGGGCAGGGCCCGGGCCCCAGTAGGGAGACTTTGGACTCCAAAGGAAGCCTAGCCCAGAGGCCTGGACTCCAGGGGCCTAGACCCCTCCTCCAATGGCTGAAAGTGGGGTCTGCACCATACATCTGTGCCCGTCCCTTCCGCCCCCTCCCTCCACGTAGGTCACTGTAGTGGACCAGGCGCAGGGATAGCCACAGGTCCCAGTGGCCTTGTGGCTGGGGTAATGTTTGGTACCAAACTGGGGGGGCCATAAAAGGCAGTGCTCAGGACTCCCTGCCCCCTGGTACCTTTCTCTGACCCCTGGTGCCCTCCCCTTTTGTCCCCCCAGAGAGACAAATGTGCCCCAAAGAGAGCAAATGGAAGCATGGGAGGCACCTCATTCCTCTCTTCCGGGGCAGAACACAGGGAGGGGACTAGATGGGCGAGGGGGTGGCATCACCCACTGCCCCCTACCCTGTTTACAGCAATAAGCACGTCCTTCTCCCCCCACTCCCACTCCCAGGATTGTGGTTTGGATTGAATCCAAGTTTACAAATAGACACCCCTGGGGGGGCAGTGGAAAAGGGTGACAGGGGGTGGGCATTGGGGTGCCAGGCAGGCATGTACAGACTCTATATCTCTATATATAATGTACAGACGGACAGAGTCCCTCCCCCTCCTTAACCCCCTGACTTTCCTTGACTTCCCATTCCAACTTCAGACCCCTTCCCCACCAGGCTAGGCCCCCCACTGGGGGACCCCCTGGCCCCTCTTTTGTCTTCTGTGAAGACAAGACCTATGCAACGCACAGACACTTTTGGAGACCGTGAGACAACAATGCCCCTTCCCCTCCAGCCCTGAGCCAGGGCCCAGCTCCCAGGACCTAACCCTGTCCATCCTCTGTGGTCCCCACCCATCCTCCTGGGCCTTTTTCAAGTGCTTTGGCTGTGACTTTCATACTCTGCTCTTAGTCTAAAAAAATAAACTGGAGATTAAAATAACTGAGTGTGTGTGTTTCCAGGGTCCATGAGCCTTCTGTACATTGGTCAGACCCCACCCCAGGTCATAGGGCCTGCATGGGGAAGGAGAGTCTAGGAGCAAATCGTCTTGTTCTGTAACTTGTCTACCTTCAGGAGGCAGTGCTGTGGAGGGAGCAACAGGGGCTTCCCAGCTGGGCCTGACCTGGGCGACTGTGGGCAATTCATTCAACTTCTCTGAGCCTCAAGTATCTCATCAGAAAATCTGGGTTATAGCCCTGGCCAGGTAGCTCAGTTGATTAAAGCATGGTCCCAATACACCAAGGTTGTGGGTTCAATCCCTGGTCAGGATACATACAAGAATCAACCAATGAGTGCATCAATAAGTAGAACAACAAATCTATGCCCCCCTCTCTCTCTCTCTAAAAAAAAAAGAAAAAAATCTGATGGGTGAGGGTAGAGGGGGTCAATGGGGAGAAAATGGGGGGATATCTGTAATACTTTCAAAGATAAACTTTTTTTAGAAAGAAAGAAAATCTGCGTTATAATACATCTCTCTCAGGGTTAGTGCACAGATGAAATGACAGGCGTATAAGGCTCAATCACTGATGTATTATTTCTTCTTTTCTTCCCACTCCAGGTTGTGAACCTAGATAGGAAAAGAAATTACATCTTTACTTTTACTCACCTGTAACTTTAACATTCTCTTACTGTAGTTGAGCAACAAGCCACAATAAGTTAACAATGTCTGTGCCTTCATAACCAAGAGAAATCACAGATGTTTTCAGACTACATTATAGTTTTTGGAAATATCTCAAAATAGTGTTTACTCTCAACACTACTTTGAAATGACCATAGTTACTAGAAGGTCCATGTTTTTACCATGTTAATAGAAAGCATATATATTACTATGCCAAAAAAAGTAAATGTTGTGATAACTGTGTTTCAGTATAATTGGTTTCCTTCGAAGTTTTATTTTATTTGTTTAAAACATCACGGCCAAAGGGCTGAGAGTTTGCTGAGGCTGGGCCACTCACACTACATCGCCCTGCATCGACAGGTGAGGGAGAGGGCAGAGAGGGCAGAGGGTGAAGACACCCAAGGCTTCTTCTGAGGAGCTGTAGCCCTGCTCAGGCTGCGTGAGGTCAGGGCTGCACAGGGGGGCACTGCGTGGGGCGTGCTGATAGGAACCCAAACCTACCAAGCTTTTACTTACCCAGCTGGTCCAGGGAAGGGGTGCCTTTTCCTTATTGCCAAGCTGTGTACCCTTGGGATTCCGTCTCAACCAGCCTCTCTAATTGGCACTGTGTGGGCAAGCTGGGTCCTGTGTGAGTGCCCTTCCTGTGTACCCCTGTGGCTCTTGCCAGCAACATTGTGGGAGTCCCTGGGCAGCAGGAGCTGTGTCTTCTCCCCCTCTGTACTCGTGGGAAATGAAATCTCAGCTGTACCCTGGAGGATGAGTAGGTTTGCCACGGGCAGAGCAGGGAGCAGTGGGGGCTGGAGGACAGGTGGGGAGAGAAGCAAGAACAGCCAGTGCACCAGTCTAAGGCTCCCTACCCCGAGACAAGACTGCAAAGGTAGGCTCATTCATCCAGCCGACTGTGGAGTCAGTCGACGTTTATGGAACACCTGCTGAGTGCCAGGATCTATCCTGGGTACTAGAGATACAAAGAAGATAGTCTCTACCCTCAAAGAAGCTCATAATTTAGAATGTGTTGATAGATGAAGAGAAATTAGTAACACACACATTGACAGTATAACCAGGGGTTGTACGGTTCAATGCCAGGAGGCTGTGGAACATGAGGAAAAAGCAGTGTCACCTGGGACATAGGCAGGAGGCTGCCAGGAGGAGGTGCACACAGCTGGAGCCCCACGGGGTAGAGTCTCCAGGGCCTTGAGGGCTGAGGCCTGTGGGTTTGTCTCATGAAGGAGCCATAGCAATGGGCCGAGGCTGCAGGCTCCCTCAGTCCCAGGACTCATGGACCAGGGTGCGGCTGGCTGGGATGGGAGAGCCTCGTGGGTTCCAAATCCAGGAATGGGCCTGGCCGGTGCGGCTCAGTGGTTGAGCATCAACCCATGCACCAAAAGGTCGCCAGTTCGATTCCCGGTCAGGGCACACGCCCAGGATGTGGGCCTGATCCCCAGTGGGGGACATGCGGGAAGTGGCTAATCGATATTCTCTCTTATCGATGTTTCTCTCTCTCTCTCTCTCTCTCTCTCTCTCTCTCTCTGAAAATCAATTAAAGAAAAAAATTTCTAAAAACCAAATCCAGGAATGGGAAGACTGAGAAAAGGCAGGCATCTGGAGTCAGGAACTAGGACCAGCCAGCTTCCACTTACTGAGCACTTACTATGTGCCAGGAACTGTGCCCAGTGCTCCAGGTGCTGGTGAGCATTGTGCCCTTGCGAGCCTTACTGTCCCAATAATGGGAAAACTGAGAGTCTGAGAGGCTCTGTCCCTGACCAGGGCCACACAGCCTGGTAAGCCTGGCATTCAAAGTGAGTCTGTCACTGTGCTTTGACCGCTGGAACCTGTGCCAACCCCTGGAATCCTTTCCACAAACCCTGATTGCCTCCTGTCACCCTCCTCCAAAACTACTCTGAGATTTTGGAGAAAGACACCAAAGGACTTCAGACCTGGATTAGGTGATCTGATCTGAACCCCACATTTCACAGATGGGAAAACAGGCTCAGACCGAGCAAGTGATTTGCCCACCATCACTTAGATGTCCATGGCAGAGCCAGGGCTGGAACTCAGGGTCCTGACCCCCATTTTTTTTCTATCATACTATAATACATCTTCCCAGGAAACCAAGGCTGATATTTGAAACCTCTATTTTTTAAAAATATGTTTTTATTTATTTTTTTTAGAGAGAGAGAGACAAAAACATACATGTGAGAGAGAAACACTGATTGGCTCGGCTGCCTCCTGCGTGCACCCTGACCGGGAATCCAACCGGCACCTCTCAGTCCGTGGGAGGGTGCTCAATCCACTGAGCCACTGGGCTGACATTGAAACCTCTTAAACCACCACTCACAGATCTGTTGTCATTCGCCCTGAGGCTGGGGCTTCAGGAAGCTCTGGGGTCCTGCTGAGACCTCCCCTCAGACAGGTTTCAGTTCCTAGGGCACTAAGGGGCGTGAGGTGAGGGGTCAGCACTTAGATGGACAGATACCAGTGACCCGGAGCCCTGACACAGAGCCTCTGCCTTGTGGCACCAAGGCCTGCACAGCCCAGGGTGTCCTGGCAGAAGCAGAGGTGAGGTGACACCAGAGGCAGGGCCTGAGGGCAGGGCATGTGGGGGCTGGGGGCCAAGTGTTACTGACGCTAGGACAGGGCAGGGTAGGATAGCCCTGAACAAAATGGAATAGTTCTGGATACGAGGCTGAGTGACATATGGGGGGAGTGAGGCAGAGGGTGATAGGGCAAGGACAGGGAAGGGAAAGGCCAGGCTCAGCCACCCCCTTCCTGCTGCCACACACCTGCACCCAGGGTGCCCTTAGCGTCTGCTGATGCTGATTGTGTCCCAGCACCTGGGCATTCTGTGGTTTTGCTGTCCCCATCCCCAAACCCAGGGCCCACTCTGCCCACCCTGAACAGGGTCTTCCTCCTCGCGTCTCCTTCTGACGGCCTCGGGAAAGGGCCTCAGATCCACACACTGGGACTCCCAGAGGCTTTTCACCGGGACTCCCTGCCCTTGCTGTCCTCCCCAGGGTAACAAACAGCAGCAACAACAAGCACCTGAGCACTTATTTCGGTTTGAGGAGTCAGTTCAGAACCAGGCCTCCCCTGCCAGGCGAGAGGTCCCGCCAGCCTTGCCGGGGAGGGGAAGGTGCAGGGGCGCTTGCATTTCAGGTTGGGTTCAAACCTTGACCTGTGGGTTGGGGTGCGGAGAAAAGGGGGGTTCTATGGAAAGTAATTCCACAGGGTAATCTGATCATAAATTTTTAACTGTGCAGATCATGGTAGGTAGTCACATGCCAGGCATATAATTTTGTTTTTTCTTTTCTTTATTTTTTTCCATCACATATAACTTCTTTAGTAAAAGGTTTATCCTTGCCTTAAGCAAGCCCTCTCCATTGTTCTTGTGTATCTAGGTTAGTACACCTTTTCTTTTTATAATCCTCACCTGAGGATATTTTTCCATTGATTTTTTAGATAGAGTGGAAAGAGGGAGGAGGAGAGAGAGAGAAACATCAATGTGAGAGAGACGCATTAATTGGTTGCCTCCCCCATGACCCCGACTAGAGCCAGGGATTGAACCCACAACCAAGGTCCATGCCCTTGACTGGGAGTCAAATCCATGATTCTTTGTTCCTCTGGCTGAGGCTCTAACTACTGAGCCAAACCAGCCAGGGCTAGGCTAAAAGACCTTTGAAATAAACCAAAACCACCCTCAAGAGTACAGATAATCTGTTAACCATCCTGTAATCCAGTCCCCGCCTTGCTTTTCTGCATCTCCATGTCATCTTTCTCACATTCCCTCCCAATTCTCAAATACATAAAAGAAGCTTCAAAACTATTATTCTCTGGAGCATTTGAGATCTTGCTCTCTGGCATATGTCCTCAGTTTGGCTTAAATAAACTCCTGTAAAAATTCTCTGTAGGGCCTGGCTGGTGGGGCTCAGTGGTTGAGCATCGTCCCATGCCCCAAGAGGTTGGCCGGTTTGATTCCTGATCAGGGCACATGCCCAGGTTATGGGCCCAATCCCAGTGGGGGGCATGCAGGAGGCGGCCAATTGATATTCTCTCTCATCGATGTTTCTTTTTTTTTTTTTTATCTTCAACCGAGGACATTTTTTTTTCCATTTTTTGTTCAGATAGAGTGGGAGGGAGAGAGAGGAAGAGAGAGAGAGGGAGAAACATTGACATGAAAGAGACACATCGTGTGGCTGTCACCTGCACGACCAACCAGGGCCGGGGACAAACTGCAACCGAGGTACATGCCCTTAGCGGGAACCGAACCCTGGTCTCTCTGGACCGCAGGCCAACGCTCTAACCGCTGAGCCAAACTG